AAAAAAAAAAACAGTTGAAAGAGAAGAACGTAATTGATGATTTTGGATGTACTGCCAACAACATTTAATTTATCATGTGCAATATCAATATCATTTTGATAATATCATTTTATATTTGATTCGTTTGTTTTTCATATATTTTACACACTCATTATTACAAACAAGGTAAGAAACATGAGGTTACTTTTTAACATTCAAGTATAAAAAATACTTTGAAAAAGATGGAAAATATAATACAGAAATCTGAGACTCAATGTTTTATTCTTAAAATATAAATAAACGCTGAGAGAAAGAGAGAGAGAGAGAGAAATTGCTTATATATTTAAAATAATTTTAAGTAATTTCTAGTATAGGAATTTTAGTTTCAGTCATTCAAGGTTCATGTATCATATTTAATATATATTAAAAATTAAAAGAAAAGAGAAAAAATGGCAAAACAAATTTTTTGCTAAAAAAAAAAATATCGATTTTATAAATTGTATATCTGTAAAATTTATTGAGGGCATTTAATATAATTCTGATGTAGGGGAGAGGTGGCTATCTTTCTTCAATTTTCATCAGAAATTCTATCAACGCCTGGTCTACCGCGGAACACCGTATGATGATTGATAGCTAAGAAACTGGGTTAACGATGACTTTTTTTCTCACGTTTTGTTTCTACTACCGCCTTTGCGCGTGCAATGCACCGCGAGATAGACAGCCGGCTGAACGTCACATCTTGTTTCGCAAACGAAGAACTGAAATGCTTTGAGACGTGTGCCGGAAGATGAATAAACGTCTATCCGCGGCGAATGAGAAACATTAAGAACGAAAACGTGTCTTCTTCAAGAATACGTAAAAGGAAGGACTCAAGCCCTCTCTCTCTCTCTCTTTCTCTCTTTCTTTCTCTAAGATATTTCGCAATTCGACATCGAGATAAGACGCAAGTGCGAAATATTCAGAAATTGTATCATCTTTTATAAGCGCAAATGCATTTTTCTCGTGATAAATCGTGTAACAAAGATAAATTATTTCGATTATAGTTGTACGACTATAGATCTTCAGAAAAAACTACTTAAAAATTATGGAATTTTTAAATATTATCCAAGACGAATATCCAATATACGAGAATGAATTATTTAAAAATCAACAGTAATAATACTTGAAAGAATAAAAAATATTAAACTACGGATTAACATACAGATAGAAAGAGAGATTTTTATTAAAAAACTCAGCTTATTTTCCTTTTTTTTCAAATTCAAAGCTTCAACGCTTGATTTAACGCGAATAATTATTATTTTCCGTAACAAAAAAATAATATTTGCGGCAGCGATAGTAGATTCACGAAAGTGTTGCGTATAAACACAGTTTAATATTCCAAGTGCTTTCTCGATCTCACACGACGACATCGTCAGTCCATCGAATTAGGAATCCGTATGTATAGAACCGATGCGTTCACTCGAACGGCTTCTCAAAAAGGCGGCGTGTACTTCTTAAAAGCACATGTGTGCGCGGTGTCGACAATGGTAAGCGTCGCGATGTCCACGGCAACCACTCAGTCTGATTGAGAAAACGCTGATACGTTTACGCGAGCAAGAAAATCAATCCACTTTCGTCGCGAAGATTCTGCTCGAAAAATTTATTTTGTCACGCGCGAATTCAGTGCACACGCCTCGCTTACTCTTCGCCGAGGAGAGAGATATCGTGTGGCTCAACAAGTCCCGCGACTACCAAGAAACCATCGCATGAAAACGTAAGCGCGGCGACTAAGGAACAAAGGATCATGTATAACGATCACGTTTGCGTCATTTATCCACTCCGAGATTATAATATAATCGAAGTTTATATTTCGTAAAATTAAGTTTAATTTTTCAATTTAAACTTGTGTGCAACTTCGTCGCGATGTTTTTTGTCATGTTAAAATATGTTAAATAAGCTCTCCTCTTTCTCTCTCTTTCTTATCACATCATATGTAAATTTATTGTTGATCTTTCATTTGTGAACAAAAGAACACAGGAATTAAATATTTTAATTGCAAATTTACTAAGATGTATAATCGCGACATCGATAATGCATTTTAAGGCACATATATATTATTTAACGCAATTTATTGTGCTTTCACTGTTCTCATTGTGTAGTAAATCGAATTGCAACAATGAAATTTATCTTACCAATTTCCTGTTGATTTATCTTTTGTTATATTTTTCTTCTCATATACAATTAAAATTGCCTTGTAAGAAAAAATTATAAATCTTTGATATCTGATAAAATATATTCAACTGCAAATTTGTTATATACACGATTTATCACGCATTAAACATTATAAGCATAGCGTCTCTCGATAGTCGCGCAATATTTGCGCGTGTTCTCCAGGCAGAAAGTACATGAAAAAAGTTACTCACCCCCTATCAGCATCTGCAACAGCAGCAATAAAAATCGGCGCGTCGTCCTCGTCATAGCTCCTCGAGTCTACATCAAACGGTCCCGTCTCTCGAAGCGAAGATCCGCGTCCGTAGATGTCACTCTCGATAAATTCGAGACGATGGTCCCGCGGCTGTCACGTGATCTCTTCCACTCCTTTGCGAATATTTCGCGGAAACGTTCGTGCGAAGATCAATTACACGCGTCGATTGCAACGGAAATTTCACAATGATAAGCAACAGATAGACGGATGGATAAGCGAAAGAGGTAGAAGCTACGCGGACGAAGTCTCGCCGTCGACTGGCGTCGACTGGCGCGCTTTCACGACCCCTCCGACACCGGCCGGCACCCTCTGCTCCCTTTCGTCCCTCCGCTGTATTATATACGCGCACTCCCGCGGTCATCCTCCGTTGCATGCTAATTCGTATTTTATTGGGAATCGCGACCGCGCACACCAAATGCAAACAAATTTCCCGAAAATCCGGCTCAATTTTCCGTGCTCGATGTTGACGTTCTTTCTTCGATCAAGATACATCAAATTACCTGAAATCAACATTAAATGAATTTCTATAGATGAGAGAATATTAAATTTATCAAATATATAAAAATTATATATAATGATCGTTTTCTCGCTATTGGCGTGTTACATTATCTTGCCAAATTTATATCAATGTGTACAAATACGGGCATTATTTCCTCGTTATAAGATTTTTCGCTTTATTAAAAAAATCTTGAGTTATCTCTCCCCCAAGTTTCTCAAGTGTGAGCGAGTTTTAAACTTATCTAATACGAAAATCACACATACACCTGCAAAATAGCCGGCTTCATAAAATTTCGCTCTATCTCGCTCGCTCTCATTCCTGCCTCACTTTTGTCAAGACGAGCTACCGGCAAGATTTATGGGACTGTTCGAAGATAAATATAATCGTGTCCTCTCTCTCTCTCTCTCTCTCTTAAAGAAGATAGCGGTAACGATCTTGTAACGAGAAAAATTCAAGTACATAATCGTAACGCTAGCTTCGGTGGCCCAAAAAATCATTGACGCTTCGATGTTTTTATAATAAAATCGTTTGTCTGCAGCTCTAAATGAGAAATTTACTCTTATCAGTCATCATAATGCAGCAGAATTTTACGTATCTATTCATAAAAAGAGATTTTAATTACCATAATTATAACGATTTCAAGCAGTGAATTACCTTGCAAGTCTCGGCAACTTCACGCAGCAACAGTTTGCAAAGCATAGTCTGTCCACAAAAGAACCGTCGTATCTTTGATAAGAGCACAGCCGGTGCTCTAAATTGATAACCGCATACTCGTTCGGCTTAATTCGCGACTATAACGAACGGTTTACTCGATCATACAAATCCCAAATTTCGAATTTCACTCACCGAAAAGAAGAGCGGCCCGTGCGTACTTTTCTTCGCGTCGCCATAATGGATCGGTTAGTACGAAATCGCTCCGACAATCACGTGACTTACTTACATACACTGAAACATAGAGTGCACTCCATTTGATATAACGAATGCTTGAAATTGTTTGATTGACCAATCGGGGCAAAAAGAATCTTTGTCCTGATTGGTCAATCAAATGTAAGTCGAAATATTTTTAATTTTTTTTTACACCAAGTGAAACATATCTTTGGACTTATTATGTCTATGATTGTCACTTGTACTACAATATATATATCGTATGGACTTACTATGCTACGATATATATACGAAGATATACTTGAGAAAAATATAATATTAATAAATATAATTGAAAAAATAATATATAAATAATAAAAAATAGCTAGTAAAATAATAATAACAGCAAAATTATTATGAAAAAGCATTCACACTTTTGAATGTTCTTTTATTCATAATCAGGATTTGTATATACACTCAAAAAAGTGGTATTGCAACTACAGCAAAAATTTTCTGGGTGCGCAAAATTAACTGAGGTACATAAATGATTAGCAAATACTGTGATATCGCATATGTTCCGCATTTAATCAATCTAAGTGACAGAGACAGAATTTATATCTGAACTGTTTGTGAAAATTAGAAAGAATGTTTTTCTGTGGCGCCTATCCATGTTAAGGCCAATCATACTTGTTATAAAGTTTGGCTGTGGTATACAGAAAAGATTAGCGGCAAGAAACAAATGAATATATAATCCTCACGTCTAACATATTTGTATAACGCGCTCAATCTATCTAGCTCTTTTAAACAATTTTTCTCAATTTTTCGATGCTGCAGTTATAATTGGCAATTATATTTCTCACAAAGATCGTTTAGCTGTAGTATCGAAACTCATATTTATCCAATGCAGTGATTAACATTTGGCAATGGGACCTAAATTTTCTAGAAGATATTATTAGAATATTGCTGCTATAAATTCTATATGTAACAGACAATATTCTAACAGATACAAAAAATAGCGATAAATTTTTGTTGTGACACCTAGAAATCTACCTATATCAGCAAGACATTTTTTTGAGTGTATATAGTTGTCACTTGATAAAAATATAAGCGCACAAACATCGATTCATGAGCTTTTATGTAACGAGAAACGCATACTAATGTGTGAGTTGCAAAATAATTCTTTGTCGTTTTAGCTTTTTGACGATCAAACTATAAATAATATTTCAAAAATGCAAAATAAAACAATGATTAAATAAATCTTTGTATCTCGTCATCTTTTGATCTTATGCCGTAATTATAAAACGAAAGAGAGAGAGAGAGAGAGAGAAAACTATTCTTAAAATACTTTTAATATTCCACGATATTAAGTTTTACCCGCTAGAAAACGATGTTAGTCTGGTAAAGGTCGGAATATTAAACCGCAGAATCCAAAACTTTCTTAACATATCACAGTCGGTTTTATAAAGCTTCAATATAAGCTTGCAATAAGTACATGCGGAAAATGGCCTTCACTCCTGTTTATTAATTTACGAGATAAATTACAAAATATTAGTTGTGTTACCCGAGCTCACAACATTTTTACGATCTAACTTAAGTTCATACATACACGAAAAACTATCAAATTCAATTTACGGCCAATATGATAAAACTTAGAAATCCATGAACGTCGTACATTTTTATACGAAATATATTTTATAAAAATATCTTATACTAGTGTCTTATTCGCGAGAAATGAAAGAAAACGAATAGCTTATTTAAATAAATAAATATATATATATATATCGCATGAAAATATCTGTCAGAAATGCTTTTTATCTTTTTTAGATAAGAGTATTTTATGAAATTTTCTACTAACGGTTCCTTGTGTGAATAAACATTCGTTCGAGCAAAAAGACTTACTTTTTTTATAGTAAAACTTCGGGAGCGTTTCAAGAGATGACGCGCATTTTGGCGGGTAACCGTTATATATACATATACATACACACATACGCACCGGCAAGAAACGCGACACGACTCGAGGAAAATCACTCTTTCATCCAGAATCACCTTCTATTGAAGAAGGCTGATCGCCGCGTGAGTTTTACTTCGTTACCCTCGTGTACTCGTCCAATGAATGCAACAGCTTTATATTCAAATCTGCCAATGAGAATCACCTGAGACCATTGAAGCAGCTGTTAGCGCCGTGCAAATCATCTTCGTTGTACTTCACAAGCATTCACGAGTTGCGCAAGAATCGTAAAGCGCGGATCCGAGCATCGCAACTTTTGGCGCCAACAGAGCAAGGGACTGCACATATTCGCGATCCACGAAAAATAATAGCAGAAATAAGTACGTATATGAGGGTATATATTAAAAGCGTTTGCTGAGTCGCGTGTGACAGTCATAATAAACATTTTACGAGCACGTTTGCAAACATAACCTATGTAAATGTCGTAGTGCCGCCAAGGAGAGCCCTGAAACGAACGGCCGTGGATCCCACGAAGGCGGACAAGCCTCCAAAGCAGATCAAACAGAAGCAAGGTATATTGACTAACAATTTTTCAATTTGTTAAAAGTTTTTTTTTTTTGTTTTATTTTTAGGACGTTATATATCGTAACCTACATGCGTAATTTGGTACGTTACAAAAGAGTGCGTTAGACGAATATAAAAATACCGTTTTTCGGGCAATCATTTATGTTATGACTAATAGCGAAGATATTAACATTTGTGAAGAATCGCACAAGTTTTGACAGATTGATATAAGTTGTTCATATGTTAAAAAACCATACTCGCACAAGTATAATTTGTACAAATTTATTTTGTAGAGATAGGTGTGAAACCTAACTTACGATCACTTTCAACCAATGGTGTTATGCTCGTATTTGGACAAGGTGATTTTGGACAACTTGGATTAGGAGAAGATGTCACTGAAAAAATGCGTCCAGCAGCCATATCCGAGTATCAGGATGTTATAGCAATAGCGGCTGGGGCTATGCATAATGTATGTTTGAGAAAGATAGGCGAAGTAATGACCTTTGGATGTAACGATGAGGGAGCGCTTGGACGAGACACCACCAAGGAAGGCTCGGAGACTGTACCAGGCACAGTAGAATTGCCTGGTAAAGCTATTCAGGTGACAGCAGGTGACTCGCATACCGCCGCATTGTTAGAAGATGGCAGAGTATTTGCATGGGGCACATTTAGGGTATATTCTTTTTATTAATTTATATAAATCTTTGCTTATTTATAATATAATGTTAATTAAGAGAAAATGTAATTAATGTAATAAATTGATTTGTAACTTAGGATACACATGGTTCTATGGGGCTAACGGTTAAAGGGAATGAACGATTTCCTATAGAAATACTACCTAATGTAAAAGTTGTCAAAATAGCATCGGGTAATGATCATTTAGTATTACTTAGTGAAAATGGACGTATATATACTTGCGGACGCGGTGAACAAGGACAATTAGGACGAGTAGCTGCACGAACAGCCAGTAGAAATTCACGACAAGGAATAGGTCTGCTACTGACTCCAGGCATAGTTGAATTCAAAATCAGTAAGAAACTGCAGTTTGATGATATATGGGCTGGACATTTTTGCACATTTGCCAAGGAAAATCAAAAAGGGGACATATATGTATTTGGTCTAAATAATTTCCATCAAATTGGTAAGATACATATCTTTAAAGATCATATACTTTTCAATCTTATATATTCTTTTCAAATCTTACATATTTATTGGAAAATTTTCAGGTTTAAAAAATAGTGATATCAATTTTCATCCACAAATATCAAAAACTTTTAATGGTAAAGTATGGAGACATATCAGCAGTGGAGAACATCATACTATAGCACTAGATGATGCAGGACAAGTTTTTGTGATGGGTCGCAAAGAATATGGTCGCCTTGGACTCGGACCTAATTGCGCGGATGCAGAGGAACTTACATTAGTTCCTACTCTAAGCTCCGCTAAATGTATTGATGTAGGTGCAGGTAGCAGAGAATCTTTTGCTGTCACGGAATCAGGTAAATATAATGTGAAGATGATATAAATATTCCCTGAAAATAATCGACTTTATACAATGCTCTACATATTATTACAATAGGTGAATTATATTCATGGGGTATGGGAACTAACGGAAATCTTGGAACAGGAGATGTAAAAGATGTCGATGAGCCAGTATTAGTTAAAGGAAAGCAATTAGAAGGTAAAACAGTAGTACGAGTCAGTGGCGGTGGTCAACATACTTTGGCTTTGGCAACGACTCGTCCGGTAAAAGACAAAACTGCTGGTTAATATTAGATGTCACATTTATCAATGTATATGTGATATGAATTTGAACAACAAACACAATGAAAAATAAATTTATTTTCATCACTCTTATTATTGATATCACTTCACAAAATAGGACAAAAATTAAACATTTGTTATTAAGATTTCGATTGTTCCTACAATTTGTAACATTTAAGTTTGTACATTTCTCTTTATCTTGCTGCCATAAATTCCATCAAATCATACAATAATTGATATATATTGAAATTTTGTTACATTATTACTCTTTTATTACTTTCTATTATATACATGTATCACTAAAAAATAAATTTTTCTACTTGCAAATTAAAATTTGTCTGAAAGTACATATGAATACTTTAGATGGACAAAATATTATATTTTGAATATTTAATAAAAATTATTAAATATATACAAAAAAAAGTATAATAGCATATTAGCAAAATTTTTATACCATTTAAGTTTAATGAAAATCTAGATAATTTTAAAATTAGCTGATATATAATATGCATTATATTTGCATTGGAAATGTGTGTCATGTATAAAATTTATTATTATATATAAAATTCTTTCTTTGAAAATAAATCATTTGTAAATAAAATGTATTAACTTATCTATATTATAATTTCTCAAAAAACCTTTATAATTCAGATAGACATTCTTTATTCAAGATAAATTAAACTTCATAATAAATCTATATCGGCAAAATAATAATATATTACATTTGTGTTTGTCTATGTGAGAAAAGGTACTAAAATATTTGAGAAATTGGGAAATTAAAAATTTATAACATTTCATAAAGTTCAGTTTTATTCATAAACTGAATTGAATACAGAATAACTGCATTTTATTTTATCTAATTTACATGGAGCTTTTAAAATTGTAGAGTAATTGAAGGAAAACTAAAAGCAACTTATAAGAGATTACATAAAAATCTCATCAAATACAATAATATTTCAATTTGTTTTTGCTTGCTCTGCAACAACTTTAGCTTCTTGCATTGAAATTTGTGTGAGCTTTTTACCGATACGTTCATGAACATCTAAATATTTAGCAATGCAACGATCCAAACATATAGATTCTCCTTTGCCTAATTCAGCCTCGGTATACTTTGGTGCTATACACTTTCTGTGACATGCAGATGTCATACGATTATACATATCTGACATCATTTCTATTTCTAATTCTTGTACCAATTTAAGTTTATCTTCATCCAGTTGTGGTAATGCTGCCATTCTTCAAGTTTTATACTTCAGTAGTCTTCCTTAAATTTTTTATTTCTTAATCATAAATTAATCGATAACATTGGTGTCGCGCAAACGTTGTCTAGCTTTCATAATCTCATATCTTCTGGCATTGACACTTTGCTTAGATAGCACAAATGCGTAAATTCCTGTCGCAGTAACTACAGACCTGCAAATAGCATAAACTTATTCTATAATAAAATGTGCATATATATTTTTTTATAAATAAGACTAAAAATCCATGTAAAATTTTTAAACTATGCAAATGTCAAAAATATAGGCATTCAAAATCATCATGTATCTTAGATGCAATAATCATCATAGTTTCAATATCTAAGGTTAATGATTGATATGATACACATGAGAATCATCCATAAGAAATAATCTACAGAAACTTTCCGAAATACCATACACACCTACCATCCAATTCCTATTTTCGCCCAAGTTGGCAAAGCCATGCTTTTTATTTAACTGTTACTATATCCCAATTATAAGTAAAAAAATTTCATGTACCTGAACGTATATACGCTACCGCCGGTAATATCTCTCTAACCCCTTTTAACAAATTCCTTATCTATATATCATTTATATCTCATAGCTCGTAGGTCTCATTCAAGACATATATTGCACGAGTTTATATATATATATATATATATATTAGAACAACGAATCAGAATCGAACATTCTAGAAATAGTATTGTGCTTTCTAGGGAATAGAAGCGTACTGTACAACCAGAGAGAAGCCTGAGAGGGGTCGCCGTTTTTCATAAGACACTTTTCTAGCTGATACAGTAGCGTCAACTAAATCCATTTTAGAACCGGCGGAATTACATGGCTAGATTCACTTTTCGATGCCATGGTAAAATTGGTGCATGTCCGTGCTAGATCCATAATTGTGGATCAAAATTGCGGAGAAATATTATGGATTTATTAATGTTTTATTAGCTATGCGTAATGTTTTGCCATTCTAGTATATATTTTTTTCGAAATTATCAAGCATTTTAAGCAATATCAAATTATTATGCTTTTAATTTATATAGCTTTTTATAATTAATTATTAATTTAAAGCATAATTTATATATAAACATAAGTAAAACAATAAGATAATTAATACTATATACAAGTCTTTTGAAAATAAACATAACAATAGATACGCTTTGCTTAACGCTATTTTCACTCAAAGAATAAAATTCTTTGCCCTCATTTGTCCACCAAACGCTTCGGAGCAGAAATAGTGTTTAACGGAGTGCATTTATTGGAAATATAAAAAATTTTATAAAATTTTTATATTTTTTATTTTTTTAAACGTAATTTTACTTGATTAATAAGATTTTTGCAAATGAAATGAAATCTCTCTGTCTCTTTCTTTCTCTCTGAAAAAAAAGAACGCAATTTTATTCGGGTAAATTTCAATTAGATACAAATTTAAAAATTAGATAAAAATTTTTTTTCCTTATCTAAGTAAAAATTATCCGAGTATATAAACTCTGTGATATATTAATCGTTTATTAAATAATTGATCTATAATTTAAAATACTTTATAATTTAATATTCCGCTTGTATATAGTAAAATATTTTCGGCTGCGAATTATCAATAACATATATGGTATGCGGCCTTGGCGGCGTAAACATTAGCGCGCTATTGTTTACGTGTTACGGCCTTGTTATTATTCGCACGGCGATACTTGAATAGTATTGTAGTAGTGGGGGAGACGCTCCATCGAATTCCTTTCCCACTTATCATTCGCACGGTGACACTCGAACAGTAATACAATAATTCGAGATGCTCCGTCAAATTCTTTTTCTAAACGCGATCGCGACAAGTATCGGAAAATAATTTGATATAATTAATAATTAATTCTCTCGCTCTCTCTCTCCCCTCTCCCCCCTCTCTCTCTCTTTCTTTATAAACAATAATTATTTTTTTGCAAATACTTAAAGTAAAATATATTTCGTCCGATGCTTTATCGTTAGACTTTTCGATAATTTATATATGGTTTGGATTGAGATCGCGCAATAAAATAGTCGAATCGCAAGTCCGATTAAAATAACGATAAGCTTCGTGATATAATCGTTATTAATCGTTTCGATTAATCGTTTATTAAATAATTGATATATAATTTAAAATACTTTATAATTTAATATTTCGCTTGTATATATATCATAGTACGCAAAATATTTTCGGCCGCGAATATTTTATTATATCGCAATAGCGCGCTATTATTTACGTGTTACGGCCTTGTTATTATTTGCATGGTGACACTTGAATAATATTGTAGTTAATAGAGGAAGACGCTCCGTCGAATTCTTTGCCTAA